GAGGGAGCGCCGCGCCGTCGGAGGGTCAGTGCCGAGGGAGCGCCGCGCCGTCGGAGGGTCAGTGCCGAGGGAGCGCCGCACCATCAATTTGATTTGATTCATTTTTGTGACGCATATGGCGATATGGTTAATAGTATGGTTTTGCATGCTAACCAGACAAATCATACCTCAATAAGTATGTCAGGTTAATAGAATGCAGAATATAGTGTTACAGCTACAGAGGAAGATCAGCTTCTAATATGAGAGGTCCATTCATAAGTCTGATAACAGCGGGGAAGAAGTTGTTCTTGTATCTGTTGGTAGGGTTTTAAACTTTTGTATCTTCTGCCTGACGGAAGGCGATGTAAGAGAGTATAACCTGCGTTGGAGGGTCCCTTCGTTATGTTTTTTTTTTCTTTATTCATTTACGGGATGAGGGCATCGCTGGCCAGGCAGCGTTTATTGTTCATCCCTAATTGCCCAGAGGGCAGTTAAAAGTCAACCACATTGCTGTGGGTCTGGAGTTACATGTAGGTCAGACCAGGTAAGGATGGCAGTTTCCTTCCCTAAAGGACATTAGTGAACCAGATGGGTTTTTCCAACAATCGGCAATGGATTCACAGTCATTATTAGCTTCTTAATTTCAGATATTTATTGAATTCAAATTCCACCATCTGCTGTGGCCGGATTCGAACACATGGTCCCCAGAATGTTATCTGGGTCTCTGGATTAACAGTCCAGCAATAATACCACTAGTCCATCACCTCCCCTTATGATGTTATAATTATGATGTGTGAATAATTTCATACTCGTTTTGAAGAACATGAAGAGGGAGAGTATGTCACTCTTAAACATTGGGGAAAATGGCTGTGATCATGTTCAAGTGTTTCACCCTACATTCTTTTTTAAGCATAACACAAGTCTCCATCAAAATCTGTTCTGTTGCATTTCCTCTAACTTTTCTGGATGTTTAAGGAAATGCATGGAATTTTACAGTACAGATGGAGGCCATTTGACCCTTCATGTCTGTACCAGCTCTCAAAAGAGATTCCCAGCTTGTCCCATTGACTGCTTTCCTGAGGCAGCGGGAAGTGTAGGCGGAGTCATCAAGTCATACAGCATGGAAGCAGACCCTTCAGTCCAACTCATCCATGCAGACCAATGTTCCCTAACTAAACTAATCACGCTTGCATGTGTTTTGCCCTTATCCCTCTAAACCTTTCCTGTTTATGTGCCTGTCCAAATGTCTTTTAAATATTGCAACTGTACCTGTATCTGCTACTAATTCTGGCAGTTCATTCCACAGATGAATGACCCTCTGTGTGAAAATGTTGCCCCTCAGGTCCCTTTTAAATTTTTCTCCTCTCACCTTAAAAATATGCCTCCTAGTTTTGAACTCCATGGCTCTCGGGAAAAGACCTTTGCTATTCACCCTATTGATGCCCTTCATGATTTTATAAACTGTTATTAGGTCACCCCTCAATCCGGTGGAAAAAGTCCCAGCCTAACCAACCTCTCCTTATAACTCAAACCCTCCAGTCCTGGCAATAACTTGGTAAATCTTCTCTGAACCCTCTTCAATTTAATAATATCCTTCCAATAACAGGGCAACCAGAACTGTACACAGTACTCCAAAGTGGCCTCACTAATGTCCCGTACAACCTCAACATGACATCCTAACTCTTACACTCAATGGTCTGAGCAATGAAGGCAAGCATGCTAAATGTCTTAAACACCCTGCCTGCCTGTGATACAACTTCCAAAGAGCTATGTCCCCAAGTGCAGAGGTCACTCTGTTTAACAGCACTACCCAGGACCCTACCATTAACTGTATAAGTCCTGCCCTTGTTTGCTTTACCAAGATAATAGAAGATAGGATCAGGAGGAGGCCATTCAGCCCTTTGAGTCTGCTCTGCCATTCTTCACGATCATGGCTGATTGTCCAACTCAATAGCCTAATCTTGCTTTCTCCCCATAACCTTTGATCCCATTTGCCCAAAGTGCTATATCTAGTCACATCTTGAATACATTCAATGTTTTGGCATCAACTACTTCCTGTGGTTGAATCCCCTCCTACAACAGATCCATCACTGATGTTAAACTCACTGGTCTATAGTTTCCAGGCTTCTGCTTACATCCCTTCTTAAACCAAGGCACACCATTAGCCAACCTCCAGTCCTCCAATACCCTCCCCATGGTTATAGATGATATAGATATCTTTGCTAGGGGCCTGCAATATCTTTGCTAGGGGCCTGCAATTTCTTTCCTAATTTCCCACAATGTCCTGGGATACACTTGATCAAGTCCCAGAGGTTTATCTACCTTCTTGCGTTTTAAGACCTCCAGCATCTCATCTTCTGTAATGTGGACTGTTTTCAAGACATCAATATTTATTTCCCCAAGGTTCCTAACGTCTTTCTACGCAGTAAGTACTGTTGCAAAATATTCATTTGGTATCTCTCCCATCTCCTATGGTTCCACACATAGACAACCTTGTTGATCTTTAGGGGCCCTATTCTCTTCCTAGTTGCTCTTTTGCAATGGCCTAGTGGTATTCTCTCTGGACTGTTAATCCAGAGAGGTGGGTAATGTTCTCAGAACCCAGGTAGTAGAATTTGAATTCAATGAAATATCTGGAATTAAGAGTCTAATGATGACTGTGAAGCCATTGCCAATTGTCAGGGAAAAACCCGTCTTGTTCACGATGGTCCTTTAGGGAAAGAAACTGCCATCCTTACCTGATCTGACCTACCTACATGTCACTCCAAACCTACAGCAATGTGGCTGCCTCTACTTGAACACATTTAACAAATTACTCATAATCCAAGCCCTTTACACTATGGCAGTGCCAAGCTATGTTTGGAAAGTTACAATCCCCTACTATTGCAACCCTATTATTCTTACAGCTATCTGAGATCTCCCTACATATTTGCTCCTCAGTTTCCCACTAACTATTTGGGGGGGCCTATAGTACAATCCCATCAAGGTGATCATCCCCTTCTTATTTCTGAGTTCTACCCATGTAGCTTCACTCAGAAAATTCGACAACAATCTCTCCATCAATATCATCAAAACAAAGGAGCTGGTCATTGACTTCAGGATGTGGAGTGGAGGGCACGCCCCTGTCTGTATCAGTGGTGCTGAGGTGGAGATAATCAAAAGTGTCAAGTTCCTGGGAGAGACGATCGCCAACAATCTTCCTAGTCCACTCACGTCGACATTACAATCTAGAAAGCCCACCAACACCTCTACTTCCTCAGGATGCTAAGGAAATTTGACATGTCCATAAAAACCCTTACCATTTTTTATAGATGCACCATAGAAAGCATCCTATCTGGATGCTCACAATGTGGTATAGCGACTGCTCTTCCCAAGACCACAACAAACTACAAAGAATTATGATCACATTCCAGTCCATCATACAAACCAGCCTTCCATCCATTGACACCATCTTTACTTCCATCTGTCTCAGGAAAGCAACCAACATAATCAAAGACCGCTCCCTCCCCGGTTATCCTGTCTTCCACCCTCTTCCATGGGGCACAAGATATAAAAGTTTGAATATGCGTACAAACAGATTCAAGAACAGCTGCTTCCCTACTTTTAAAGGAACATCTCAAATGTTCATTCTGATCTCTCTCTCTCTCTCTCCCCCCCCTCTCTGTGCACCTTCTCTGTAGCTGTAATACTGTATATGCACTGTTATGCTACCCTGATGCACCTTGGTGCAATCTACCTTGATAGCATGCAAAACAACACTTCTCACTGCATCTCCGTACATGTGACAATAATAAATCAAACAAATCAAAGCAGTAATATTTTCCCTAATCAAAAACTGCCCCTCCTCTCTCACCTCCTTTTCTATCCTTCCTATAGCATCTAAACCCCAGAACATCGAGCTGCCAGTCCTGCCCCTTTCTGCCATGTTTCTGTAATAGCTATGATATCCCAGTCCCATGTTCCCATACACGCCCTGTGTTCATCAGCCTTACTTGTAAGACCCCTTGCATTGAAATAAATGCGGTTTAATTCTTCAGAGTTACCTCATTCTCTGACTTGCTCTTGCTTGTCTTTCCTAATTAATTTGCTCTATTTAACTTCAGAGCCATTCTCATCTGTCTCTGTCTCTCTATTCTCACTACAACTTAGAATGTCTTCTACCCTCACCCCAAAAAAACTAGTTCAAAGGCTCCCAAATAGAACTAACAAATCTCCCTGCCAGGATATTAGTCCCGCTCCAGTTCAGGTGAAACCCGTCCATTTCAAACAGGTCTCTTCTGCCCCAGAAGAGATCTCAATGATCCAAAAATGTGAATCCCTGCCCCCTGCATCAGCTCCTCAGCCACTGATTTATCTGCCCTATCCTCCTATTCCTACTCTCACTAACACCATGGCACCGGGAGTAATCCAGAGATTACTACCTTTAAGGTTGTGCTTTTTAACCTGCAACCTCCTGCATTCACTCTACAAAGCCTTTTCCTTAATGATGTCATTCTTACCGATGTGTACAACATCCAGCTTTTCATTCTCCCCTTTAACAATATGCTACAACAGCTTTGCGATGTCTTTGACCCTGGCATCAGGGAGGCAACAAATTTTCGCTCATGGCCACAGAATCTCCTGCCTATGCCCCTACAGGAGACCCCCCTATAACAAATACTCTTTTGAACCTTGACAAATCCCAATTAACTGAAGATTTATTTTTGGTGCCCAAGATCTGGCTGCCACTTCGACCTTCCTCTGACAGACTATCCCCACCAACAGTACCCAAAAGTCAGCGGAGGGAAGGATGATTTTCATGTTGGACAACTCTCTGTAATTTCTTGCGATCACTGAGGGAGTGCCGCGCTGTCGGAGGGTCGGCGCTGAGGGAGAGCCCCACTGTCTAATGCACAAACACTACTTGTTTACTTGGCTGTGCAGTTATTTCTGTGTCTGTTGTTGACTGTAATCTGGTTGTGTCACTTCTGTTACAGGACTTGTTTGCATTGGGCTTGTAAACGTGGTCACACCCAAATTGTGTCCTACTTACTTGCTGCTGGGGCTAATAAAGACATCCTGACAAAGAATGGTGAAAGTGCAGCACAGCTGACGGTGAAACATGAAATCCGAGCCATGTTAGGAGGTGATTTGCTGATATTATTCTTCTTCCTCTTTCTCTGTAGCATCACTGTCTACCTCTCTGCCTGGATATTTTAACATTTATTTCACTTTGATATTCTCATCCCTCCATCTCTCTGTTCCTTTCTCTTGAGTGGACTACTCTCTAAGGTCAAATGTCCAAGCGGACACCTCTCCCCTTGCACTCACTGTCAAACATCAGCTCATTGCAAACTCTGCTTCAGTCCTAACTTACACTAAAATCCTGTTCATCCAACTTCACTCAGTGACCTACACTGGCTCCTAGTCTACTGATGTCTTAATTTAAAGCTATTTTGTGTTCAAGCCTTCTGTGGCCTTAATCCTCCTTATCAGTGCAACTTCCTTCATTGGGAACATTGACAGGGTGATGCTGTTACTGGGCGAGAAAGCCAGAGATCTGGATCAATGATTCAGAAACATAAGTTCAAATCCCACCATGGTGTCTGGGGAATTTAAATTAAGTTAATCAAATAAAATCTGGAAAAAAAAGAAAGTTAGTATCAGCAATGATGACCCTGAAACTACCAGATTTCATAAATACCCATCTGGTTCCTGAATGCTCTTAATGAAAGCAATGACCACCTTCAAGAGGAGAATTTACCAGGAGGCGTGTTAATGTCTGTGAATTCTCAGTCTCTGACCTCTTAATAGCCACTGCATTTATGTGGCTGGTCCCATTCAGTCCCTGGTTAATGATAAACCCTATTCACTCTCTCCCCACTACCCCACCTGCCCATCCAATGCGGGACACAGGATCAACGTTCCCTCTTATCTTTTTTCCCGGTGCATGGATCTTAAAGGTCCATGCAAAGCAGGGTTGGCTCGGTGATTGGAGGAACATCCCAAAAGCATTGCCTAGGATGTTGGGTATAAATCAGGGTAACACTGGCCTCTGCAGCAATACCCCCATCCCATTGCAAACAAAACACCCCATTGAAAAATCTGTTAAGCTCTCTAAGTCTAAACCCTCGACCTTTCTCTCCCTCTTAATGATAGTCCTTAAAAGCTACCTCTTTGATCAAACATGTGGTCACTGTCACCCCTGGCCTGGTGGACAACGCTGGGGAATCCAACATTTGAGAGTTCAAGTCCCACTCCAGACCCTGAGCTCAGAAGTTGGGCTTGATATCGAGTGCAGTGGTGAGGGAGTGCTGTGCTGCTATATTTCAGGGAACGTGTTCAACTGAGGGCTTCGTATGCTCTCTTGTGGATATAGGTGGTCACATGACTGTATCTCAACAATAAACAGGAGAGTTATCTCTGGTAAAATCCGAAAGAACTGTAGATGCTGGAAATCAGAAAAAAACTAGAAATGATTGGAAAAGCAGAGCAGGTCTGACAGCATCTGTGAGGAGAAGTCAGAGTTAATGTTTCAGGTCAAGTGACCCTTCCTCAGAACAGAGTTCTCATTGGTGTCCTGGCCAACATTTATCCTCAATCAACATCATTGAAAGTATATTATCAAATCATCATCACATTGCTACTTGGGAGAGTTTGCAAATTAGTTATTCAATTTTCTATGTTACTTTATTGGCTGTAAAGCGTTTTGTTACACCCAGTGATTGTGAAAGCGTGCTGTGCACGTGGATTCCTTTTAATTTGTATCTATCCTAATATCTCTATTTCACACCTGCCAAGTTTTGTTGAGCAATATTCTGTGAGGCACCTCAGGTTATTATAACTGTGTTAATGGTGCTACATAATGTTTGTTTATGAGGAGGTAATGCTCACTGCTGTTTTCTCTCTCTCTTCCCCCTCTCCCCCTCTCTGTGCAGTTGATGAGGATTCAGAGCCTGTGGTTAATGGAGAATCAGCTCTTCCATTCCTGCCCAACTACCTGGCAAATCCCTCTTTCCCGTACGTGGAGAAGCGGGAGTCCAAAAGCTCCCAGGCTCCGGCTGTTAGCTCACTGACTGGCCGTAAACCCTCACTGACATCCCAGCCACAGAACGGACCACCAGCAGGACCCCCAGCAACTTTCCAGCCGCTGTTCTTTACTGGAGCCTACCCTATAAACGAACAAGGTAGGGAAAGGGACTGGGACTGTGTGTAGATAGAGGGTGCACTCCATCCCAGCATGCCCTCCAAAGGCAATGTATGTGTCTGCCTTCTTTGTGTTGACAACACAGACTAAGACCCATATTGTGCTCATATTCTTGAGTGCGGTTAAAAATAGGATAATAACTGATAAACTGTTACTTGTGACATTGACCGAGGCATAGCTTGGTTGCATTTATGTTGGTAATGTCTGTTCCACAGCGCTACACCTTCAAAAATGCACCCGGAAAATGCCCATGATATCCTACAGAATTAGGCAGGACAACAACAGATATCCTGCAAAATGTGTACAGCATCACAACTAGTACCGTTCAGCAGGGGTGTGCCCCAGCAAGGTGAATAGTGTACCAAGAAATTCTCAGTCACAGATCCACTCTGTGCAGTTACTTCTGACAACGTGTATGCACTCCCAAACATTTGTATGAGGGCAAACTGTGTATGCAGTAAAGAGGTGTGCATTTGAAACAGCTGTTAAACTGACCTGCCTGCCTGGACGTGTTTCCATGTTAGTGTGGGTTTTAAAGTGAATGTTCTTGGATTTTATTTTACATCTACTACTGATCCAAGTCTTGTGTTCTAAGAAGGAATGGATAAGTTTCTTGTCAAAAGAGATGATTGCTCTGCTGATTCACACAATGAAACATCTGAACCCAAAGGAAAATGAAGCAAGAACTGTTTAGAGATAGCACCGTGAGAGCTATCTGGCCTTTGGATTTTCATGCACAGGAGATCTCGCTTGTCCCATACCTGCAGAGAGAAGTTGGCCAGAATGCAACAGTATCAAGTAAGCCATTTACAAGAAGGCACCTATCTCTTGTGAACAAACTTGTTCAGTGCTTCAAGAACTTGAGAAAACAATGCATCAAGCAGACACAACATCTGATGGGAATGTGTGCCAGTATTGGGAAAAGTTCAACCAGCCAGTTTAGATGGTGGCTGAGCTTGTAGCAAACCCAAAGAAGTTCCCATTGCTGAAACTTTAATCATGCCTGTAATTAAAAACAAATCATCAGCAGCTGATGCTGCAAAAAAAATTGACAAAATCCCACTCTCTGGTAATACAATTGAACAGTGAGTTGACAACATGTCAGCTGATAGAGGGGGTGCTGCAAGAAACGTTGGCTATCATTGGGAAGGTTGCTTTGCAGATTGACGAGTTCACTGATACAAGTAGACACTGCCAGTTGCTCGCCGATGTTCGGAATGCTGTGGGAGCTTCATTCAGGAGAATTTCCTTTTGTAAGGAGCTATTGAGCCATATGACTGGTGAAGAAATATTTTGGGTTACAGCTACCTCCTTGAGAGAAGACAAACTTACCTGGCATGTCTTGGAGTATTTGTACTGATGAAGCAGCCTGCACAATGGGTAAAGTTAGAGTTTGTCAATGAGGTAATAGAGGAAAATGCTGATATTCAGACCGTTCATTGCATCTCTTATGGCCAAAGCAATGCGACCGGAGTTAGCTGCAGTATTAGAGCAAGCTGTGAAAATCATGAATTTCGTCAAATCATGGCCATTCAATTCACATCTGCTTGCTGCTTTGTATGTGGGGGCCTGGCATCAGAATTTCCTGTTACACATCGAGGTGCAATGGCCAGGGAAGCTTCTCCCCGTGTTCATAAGAGAACTGACAAGAGTATTTGACAATAATGGGCTGCCTTACAACATGTTACTTCACAGTTAACGTCCTATGGAATGTGTACAGGGCGGTGAGTAAGACCCTATGGAAACGTGTACAGGGCGGCGATTAACGCCCCATAGAAGTGCTTCCCAATCTCTTTCTAATGTGACTCATTTTAACACTTGAAAATTAACACAGCTGTTGCGCTAGGCCTCTGTATAAATTGGCCAGGAAGCTGAAGTCTTTCTGAAATTATTCTACTTAGTACTGGGCTCTGATGGAGAGTGAATCAGGAATTTCTGAGCCTGCAATGCTAGATTTGGCAAACTGTGAGAAAAGGTGCAGCCTCACCTGTTCAGAGATCTGGGGTGATACCAAAATCCCACTCTCTAAATAGTTGCTGTCTCTGTCCTTGCAGAGCTGGTGTTGAAAGTTCGAATTCAGAATCCTGCCATCAGGGATAGTGACTTCATCGAGGTGGAGCTGAATCGACAGGAGCTCACTTACCAGGCGCTGCTCAGAGTGAGCTGTCAGGAGCTCGGCATCGATCCTGAGCAAGTGGCAAAGATCAGAAAACTGCCCAACACATTGCTGAGAAAGGTGATCAAAATATAACCCGCACCCCCTCGCTGCCACACTCAGGTATAACCCGCACCCCCTCGCTACCACACTCGGGTATAACCCGCACCCCCTCGCCGCCACACTCGGGTATAACCCGCACCCCCTCGCCGCCACACTCAGATGTGTCCCGCACCCCCTCGCCGCCACACTCGGATGTGTCCCGCACCCCTTGCGTTCTGACAGAACCCCCTTGCTCTCGGTGTTCTCTTTGAGATTAAAAGAGATGGCCTGGCAGTACTTAGTAGTTCAGGCAATGTCTGAGGAGTGAAACTGAATTAATGTTTTCAGTTTGTGAACTGTTGCCAGAGCCAGGAAACCCTAGAGAGGAATCTGGCCAGTGATGTAATACAGGGCAGGAGAAATTAAATGACAAAAGGTTCACTTCTCATTGTAATTCTCTAGACTCGCACTCTGACCTGTCTGTCCTTGGCCTTCTGCAGTGTTCCCATGAAGCTCAGAGCTGGTGGAACAGCATCTCACCTTTCGAAAAGGCACTTCAATGCCTGCCAGACTCCACATTCAGTTCAACAGCTTCCGATTACAACCTCTCCTTCCATTTTTCTGAGCAGCAACTGTTGGTAATGATTCTGCTTTTATCATTCCCTTCACCTCCTCTGACTCGCCTTCTGTTTCTCGTCCTGTTACTGGCACCTGCCCCCTTGCATCATTGTCCCTTAGTCATTTACTCTCTCCTGCCTTCCACTTACTTTCCCTTTACCACTATCTTCCTCACCTTCACACTGACACATTGCTCATTTTCAACATTTTTAATTTGACTTGATCTTTAGGATAAAGAAGTTGCGAGGCTTCAGAATTTCCAAGAGCTGGAGTTTGTTTTACAGAAAGGTGACCCAACCCTGAGCTCTGTGCCAGTGACTCTGACCGAGCGTCCTTGCTACAATCAGGGGGCAGCAACACTGACCTACTGAGCCATGATGGGACAGCCAGCACGGGCATTATCACAGCACTCCACAGGAACTGAACACTGTTGCCGGCTACGAAAGGGCACAAGCCCCACACAGCAGAATGACTTTGCCAGATGCTGCGTTGTCTGTAAATGTTAATCGCAATGGCCACTGAAGACTCAGTAGCTATTACCTTTGGGGATTATTGAAAACCTTAAGCTGACTCTCCCTGTGATGATAACAAATGAAAACTAGTTCATGTATCAAATGCACTCCCTCCCCTTGCACCTACGCAGCCCACCCGAGCTGTTCCAGTGAGGCTGTCAGAGCGCAGAGGGCTCAGAATTCAGGCAGCAGGAAGAATATCAGCTGACCCAGCCAGCCACTCTTTCCAAAGCAGGACATGTCAGGACTGCTGACTTCCATTGGCCACTCCCCTGTCTTCCTCTGCTGTTTGGACAGGTTCCAACAGCAAGTTGAAATGGGCAGTCCTGTTGGACAACCTCTTTCAAAGGTAAACCCTGACCACCTTGTCTCCTTAACCTCCGAGCAGTGGAGATATAGCCCCTGAGCCTATCACACCCAATGTGCCTGGTGATGACATAGAGACTGGGGCTAGGAGGCGTGTGCAGTATGGTTAGATTGTAGGCAGGAATCTAATTCCAACAACGTGGTTCAAAAGACCTGGCACAGCCCTCAGAACCAGTGCACAGCGTTCTCCTACCTTTACATTTTTACACCTGTCCAGGTAAAGCAGTCAGCGCCCATTATCAAAGCTTTGACTCTTCGCTATCCCCATTCTCCAAACCTAGAACATGCTCCAAGTTAGCAATATTTTAAAGAAAAGCTTAAAATGAAAGACTGACCACTTTATTTTTTGTGATCATTGTCCGCCCACTTGTCAGTGAGAAACGCTTCCTGTTCTCACTTCCGGTCTGCTGTTTAATTCTCTGGAGTTTCTGTTATTCACAATGAGTCCCAGAGAAACTTCCCATTTCCCAACAGATCCACTGCTGACTCTGACATCACTTAAGGAACCTATGCATTTAGAGATTTGCTATATTTTATAAACAGCCTTTAATCTTTAGATATTCTTGAGCACTTTTTCTAATGGTTATAACCAGGAATTGATATCATAATCACTGTAAAATTATCAATAAAAGAAGTATTGCATGAAGTGCAGCAAGTAGAATTTTTTTATGAGCATGGGGCGCTTGTGCATATGATGGTATCTAGCATGATATATGTTTACATGTGCATGTTTGTTGCATGTGAGTTAGCGTGTGAACAGGTACACAGACTGTACATCCCCTGAGAACTGCTGTTCTCAGCAACAAAGGATTTGCTATTTAATTTTTTTGCTGTAGCCCATTGTTATTGCTCAAGTTAATGATTAGTGGATAGATCGTGTTGGCTAATCACTGCCCATTTCAGCTTCATATCAGGATAAACAGCTTCCCAGTTTCCTTTGGTCTTTCATTGCTGCACCATCCTGCAGAGGGAGTAGCTGTACAAGACAAAAAACAGTCTCACATAAGGCACCGATTCACGCCTGTATGGCTTTGTGTGTGTCTGTGTCAGGCGCCCGTACAGTCCATGTGCACGTCCCTGTGTCGGGCTCCCATAACGTCCATGTGTGACTGTTAGCTCCTAAGCGTGTACAGTACATGTCACTCAGATATATCCCACACCCAGGTATCTGTAATAGAAGCCAGAGTCTGAACAGTCAAAAACTTTGATTAATTCTGCTTTTATTTTAACCCCTCACTATTTTGGTCAGAAATGTAAAATGAGCAGCAAGTTGTATTTGTTAGACCAGAACATCTATTAATGTTGGGAAGACAGCTGGCTGGACTGAAGCCCCTGTTTTGTGTTTCTTCAATACTGAGCAGAATGTGAAATGTAACGTACCACATAGATCTTAATGTCCAATGGCTGGTACTGAGGCCGAGCCTGGTTCAGAACTGCTCTGTTCCAGGGCAGAATGGCATGGTCTGTAGCAGCTCAGTCCTGACCCTGAGTTTAAATCTCATTATTTCCGGTTTGCAGGATTCCGCAATAATCTGGTACTTTCCAGAGCTCTCCCCATTCTACCACATTCTTTCAGTGCCAACTCTGTGATCAGAAGGACAAAACACAAGGTGGTGAGGGGTTCAAATCCAGGGCACTGAGCCACTGAAAGAAATTAAATCCACATTTAACCCTGCGCAGTCCCTGTCCTGGGAGCGTTTGATGGGGAGGGGGAGACAGTGTAGAGAGAGCTTTACTCTGTATCTAACTTGTGAAGTTCCTGTCCCTGGGAGTGTTTGATGGGAAACGGTGTAGGGGGAGCTTTACTCTGTATCTAACCCTGTGCTGTCATTGTCCTGGGAGTGTTTGATGGGGGACAGTGTAGAGGAAGTTTTACTCTGTATCTAACTTCGTGCTGTCCCTGTCCTGGGAGTGTTTGATGGGGGACAGTGTCGAGGGAGTTTTACTCTGTATCTAACTTCGTGCTGTCCCTGTCCTGGGAGTGTTTGCAAGATTCTGTATGTATAGCATCTCTCCCAGAACACTAAACCTTCAGCCCTATCTCTGAGATTTTCCCATCCAAATATGCTGACCGTGTGGCCGGTGAAGCTTTGAGCAGTGTTTTGATAATTTGGTGTTTATCGACACTCTTGGTGTGGTTTGAGAGATTGAAAACCTCAGCAGCCTCCCCCACCCCAATCCCCAGCACAAACCAAGTCAGCTGCACATGATCAGGAATCTAGTGGAGCGCAGGTAGAAACCACGGGATCCTTATCCCTAATCTCTCAGACAACAACCTCACTATTGTAAAGCTTCCTGGTGTAATCACTCTGGTCTGGGAGGCTTGGCAGTTAACGTGGATAGTTAACCTCTTCGTTCCAGCCTATGTACACACAATCTGATAATTAAAAATGGGGGCAGGGGCTGTTATTTTAATGTCTGTCGTTCTCCCTGCAGTCCAGGCCTCATCAATCACTTTATCCATGCCCTTGCCATCTGGCCAGAAGGCTTGAGTACAAAATCCATGCTGTCCCTGCCATTGCAGTGCCAGCAGAGTGCTGTGCTGTGCGAGTGGCCACCTCCGGATTTTGATGTTTAACCAAGCCCTGTCTGTCCCCTGGGATTGCAGGAGATCCTAGTTTGCAGAAAAGCAGCTGATTTATGTCCTGTGTCCAGGTCACCGTCCAGGTCACCATCAATGTCACACACAAAGGCATTATCTACAGCAAATGACTTTGTGGGAGTTTGCTTTATGGGAGTTTTTTCAACCATGTGTCTCCCAGTGAAGCAGCGGTTCTTGAAGAGTTTCATTGGCTTGAGAATGTCCTGAGGTGAAAGGCTCTATCGAAGTGTATGATTTTCACCAAGATCTGACTGTACTGTACCACCACAGGCCTGAGCAGTGTTTTGGATAGTTATCACTTTAGACTCTAGCTCCCTGTTGATTTACAATAGTGTTATAGAGTCTTAGAGAGGTACAGCATGGAAGCAGATCCTTCAGTCTAACTCGTCCATGCCGACTAGATATCCTAAATTAATCTAGTCCCATTTGCCAGCATTTGGCCCGTATCCCTCTAAACCCTTCCTATTCATATACCCGTCCAGATGCCTTTTAAATGTTGTAATTGTACCAGCTTCCACCACTTCCTCTGGCAGCTCATTCCATACACACACCACCCTCTGCGTGAAAATGTTGCCCCTTAAGTCCCTTTACATCTTTCCCCTCTTGTAGTAAACCTATGTCCTCTAGTTTTGACACCCTTACTCTGGGGATTCACCCTGTCCATACCCCTCATGATTTTATAAACTTCTCAGCCTCCCACACTCCAGGGAAAATAGCCCAGCCTATTCAGCCTCTCCCTACAGCTCAAATCCTCCAACCTTGGCAACATCCTCGTGAATCTTTTCCAAACCCTTTCAAGTTTAACAGCATCTTTCCAATAGCAGGCAGACCAGAATTGAACACAGTATTCCAAAAGTGGCCTCACCGACAGAGCTGAAGTGGAGAGCATCAAGTTCCTTGGAGTGACGATAACCGATAACCTGTCCTGGATTTCCCATGTAGATGCAGCAGTCAAGAAGGTACAACAAGTCCTTTTCTTCCTCAGGCAGCTTAGGAAATTTGGCATGTCCGTAAGCTCCCTCACCAACTTTTACACATGCACCATAGAAAGCATAGTGTCCAGATGCATAACGGCCTGGTATGGCAACTGCTCTGCTCAGGATCGTGAGAAACTACAGAAGGTGGAGGTGCACAGCCCAGAACATCTCAGAAGCCACACCAGCACACCGCTGGTCATAGGCCTGCAGTCTGAAAAGCAACCCTCCACCACCACCCTCTGTCTCTTACCTTCGAGCCAGTTCTGTATCCAAATGGCGCGTTCTCTCTCTATTCCATGTGATCTAACCTTGTGTTCTCCTCCAATGCTTCACAGCTCCTTACGAAAGTTCTCAAAATATCTGCTCCACTTTTCCCCATGTTGAAGTTTGCTCCTAAATCTATCTTCATATACAATTACTGAGGAAAATTGCCATTACACGGAACATATTTTCCATCTTTGCTGAGGCCCCTGCAATGTTATTGCTGATTCTTCTGCAAATTCTTTAGAATCAAGTCTGGCAGGCCCACAGCAAAAAGTCACATCTTGAATAAATGCCATCATCAACTTGCGGGACAGCCGAGAGTTGAACCTGTTGATGACGCTTGGCAAGAAAATTAAGCAAATAAACACCAACAAACATTTGCAGTGAAAGCTCTCAGGACACTTGCCGTCATTCTTCTTCCTTTGCTGCATCTTCCTGTGTATCAAATGCAAGATGTCCAGTGAGTGTAAGTGTGTGTGGGACCCGTACCCCGGTGAGGCTCAGTGTGTGTGCGACCCGTACCCCGG